ACGGCCTTCGCCCCGCCGTTGGATGAGACCCTGGGCGATGTGGCGCAGTGCTTTCAGGCGCACTCGCACACCGCACGCACGCGCAAACGCGCACACACGCGCACAATCCGGAGGGCGCCCACTTGAGCACCGCGCACGCGCCCTTGCCACCAGACGGGCTCGACCCTCGTCCTGCACTACTGCACCACCCCGGCATGGGGGTGACGAGCAGCGTCCTGTAGCTGTCCTCTCGACGGCCACCTCTCGGCGGCCACCGCGGCGCCGCCGGATGTCACACCGCGGTCTTGCGCACTCGTCCGCCCGCGGCGATCCCTCGGTTTGATCAGTGGCGGAGCGTTTGCGGTCGCGCCGCCGGAGAGCACCCTTCCGCACCCGCGTCCGCTTGGGAGAGACGCCGCGGCCTTCGGTGCTTGCACCTCATGCCACCATCGCCGTCCATTGCCACTTTGACGTCGGAGCGGATCGCCGCGGGCTTGCGCGAGTCGCCACGTCGGAGATCGGGCGGGACGGACAGCTCTGCCAGCAACGACCTGTGGATAAGGGGCCGATTGCTCGAGCTCTGCATGTGCCAGGGTCGTTGCGCTTGCGCGAGCGATCCAATAGACACAGTGGTACTGCCGGAAGTCATGTACTAAGGAGCTCTATAAATTGCGCGCGTGCCGGCGCGAGTAACTTTGATGAGATTTTACGATTAGCCCGCGCCACAAACAACACAGACTCTCAAAAGGAAAACTCGCCCCACCTCGCAGGCCGCGCAAAACTGCACCGGCCAGCGCCACACACCGCTCAGTTCGATGGGAGGGGCGGTGACCTGCCCCTAGCGTACTCGAAGCACTTTTTCAGCGGGTGCTCCTCGCGCTCTGTATGCGCCTTCTCGACTTGGTCATCGGTGTAGGTCTCTTTCGACGCTGCTGCTGTCGCCGGTGTCGCATCGGTGTTGATGGTCCCGTCGGGCATGAACTTGTCCAGGAAGGCGCTGATGACGGTCGTGATGACGACCATGGACAGCTCCTCACCCGGGCACTGACGCGGCGCCGAGCCGCCGTACGGGCCGTTCCAAACCAGGTAGCGGTCGCGCGGCGCGCGCCCCGGCCGAAAGTCGCGCCAGTCGTCGCCCCATTCCTTCGGGTCGAGGTGCGCGGATCCGTAGTTGGCGACGAGGACCGTATTCTCTGGCAGCGTGACCATGTCCTTCATGAAGGGGCAGACCATCGGCTTGTCCAGCACCTTGTGCGAGCCGGCGACAGGACACGCGAGTCGTAGCGTCTCCAGGACAAAGTCGGTTGGGTTGGCACGGTACAGAGCCGCCATCTCCTCCGCATCGGGCTACAGCGAAGAGACGACGCGCGTCAAGCTGGAGAGGGGGGAGGGGGAGGGGGGGTCTGTACACCTGCCAGTCGTGCTGGTTGAGCGCCAGCCCGAAGCCAAAGATGTTGAAGCCAAACTGCGGAAAGTAGAAGGACTGGGGGAAGTGGAGAAACTTTTTCAGCACGTTTCCTGTTGCTGTGGTCGTGCCCGCCGTCGCTGCGAGAAGCATCGCGACGCAGACGGAGTCCAGCAGCCGATCCACCTTCTCCTCCGCTCTCGAGGGGCCTTGATTCGTCGCATTCTTCTCCCCCGTGTCCAGCATGCAGCGGAGGCAGCAGCCGCCCATGCAGTCGCAAAACACGGGCGGCTCGCTACCGTCCGGCGGCCGCTCGCCGTTTGCGTTTGCCGTCACGGTCTCAACCCCGGGCACCTCGTCCGCCATCGCGCGCCAGTCCACTGCGCGGCCGCGCAGCTGATCTGGCTTGGCTGCGTTGTGGTTGAGGTAGAGGTACTCCTTGAGGCGAAGTGGCGCGAGCGTCCCCGCAGTCTGGAAGAGAGGCGGGTACGAGGGCGCTAGCAGCCAGTACATTGCGCCCGCGGTGGTGTAGACGGCGACCTTCTCAATCAGGTCCTCAGGCAGCTCCTCCGTGTCAAAGAGAATCCCCATCAGCGTCTCAAACACCGGCTGCACCAGCCACTTGCTGCCTGGGAAGTTGGGCGGTTTGATCGACCCCCAGCCTGGCCCCAGCCAGGCCTCGAGCCGCAGCCGCAGCTTCTCGCGAGCGCCCTCGCCACCATTCGCGAGCTTGGCCACAACAGACTCGGGCGCAGTGATGTGGCGCTTGAAGGCCGTGCGCCAGGCCGAGTGGTACTCGCTGCCGGTGTTGAAGAAGAGGGGCAGGTTGGTCGCGTACGGCAGCTGTGCACCCTTGATGAGCCAGCCATCTAGGCACGCGGCGCGCTTACGCTTCGGATCGAGCGCAATCTCGCGCGCCAGATCGTAGTCTCCAATACGCATTGTGTCCCACAGCACGAGATTGCGTCCAAAGGAGCCGTCGAGATACGCGCGCCGGTCTGGATTGAGGCTGTCGGTCCACATGCGCTGCTCAAACGTTCCCAAAAACTCGAGCGCGTTCCAGAAGAAGTCGTACACGATGGAGGGGATCCGTGCCAGAAGGACACCGAGCAGCGAGCTGCGGAATGGGCCGGTGAGACACCACAACGCGAATTTCTGGAAGTGTCTGGGCCCTGAAACCACCCCGGTGATGATGAGAAACCCGCCGATTGGCATCACCACGACGAAGAATGCTAACCACGATAATGTCTTGTCGACGATTGAGTCAGAGACGTACCGAGTGCCAAAGGCACTTGTGGCGGACTGGCTGCCTGGCGAGGCAGTGGAACCTCGCTCCATTGCGTCCAAGGTGGGTACCGAGCGCTCCATTGCGTCCAAGGCGGGTACCGAGCAAGCCTTTGCAGCCTCTTCGTGCTTCCCGGCGTCTCTTCTCGCCCCATTGTACTTGAGCTTCCGAAGCTTTTTGCCCTTTGGCGGCCCCAGCTTCTTGGCTTTGTCGCTCAAGATGATCACGGTTGTTGTGTCCATGACCTATATGCGAATCCGAGCATCGACTGTTCTCGCGCCACTTTTACCTCGCCAAAAGCAAAATTCTTGAGCTGTTATTGAGAAGAAAATACATGAGCGGTTCACATGTGATAAATAATTCGACGCACCACACACACCCTACTCTCGCGTAGCCCATCCAAACCAACCACCCGCTCGCTCGCTCGCTCACCCTCGATCGAGACCCAAGCACACAAGCAAGGAAGAGGCAAGCGCAACGGGGTCACTTTGCGTGTCCTACTCCTCCTACCCGTATCCTGTGGGCACAACGAGTACTAGGCCGGGCTGATGCAGGCACGTGGACTTCCAAGGCGATGGGCACCTGTACCTCCTGATCGACGTGCAGGCGTCGCCGTCGACCGCCGAGGGAATAAGGACATAGGTGCGGCCGCGCATGCGGCGCGCCCCCTTGCGAGGCAGACTCTGCTGACAGGGTTCGTGCGGGAGGCTGGTAGAGGAGGCTAAGCGAGGTTCGAGGGGAGATCGACCGGCCGGGGGCGGGTGGCGCGGACGCCCGCGGCCAGGGCAGGCGCGCAGCCGCGCGCTCTGTCCGCCCGCCCCGCGCCCGCGCGTGGGTGGGAGGAGAGAGGCGGGCGGTCAGACCTTGGCGGCCAGTGATGGCTTGGCTTGCTTTCCCCCTCTGGATGTTTCCAAAAGAAAACAAATCGCCGCCACGGCCTCTCTCTGACGCCCGCCCTAGATTCGAGAGAACGAAGCGCGCCATTCGCCGTGCGACGTGCCAAGCTCTCACTCTCTCTTCACTCTTGTCTGTGTATCGTCTTCTCCTCTACTTGTCACTCAAGATGGACGACGCGGCGGCGGGCGCACCGGGACGCTACTTCCTGGGCTCAATGCTGCCCTGCTCCCGCTCCGCCTGCCTTCCCTTTGCCGTTGCCTGGCGGCCTGCCCCTCGGCCTCCTCTGCGCTGTGCGCTCTCCCCTCTTGCAATAATTGATAATTAATCATTGCAGGCGGGGAGCGAGTCGTGCACTAAGAAGACGTCGTACGCCAACCTGAGCTGGTTCGGCGACCGCGGCAAGCCCCTCACCGCCATCGACACGCCTAATTAGTATTGTAATTATTGATTATTAATTATTAATTAGGCAAGCCCTTCACCGCCATCGGCACGCCCGGACACGACGACCCGGACGGCGCCGACATCGACTCGCCGGAGGCTCGCGAGAGGCGCTGGGGCGACGAGCTCCAGCTCGACCCCGTCCGGCCGTTGAAGCGCACCTTCGTCGTCAAGGCGGGTAGGATGACTGCAGCATCGAGCCAATCGTCGCCTTGGTTGCCAGTCCTGCTCCAGAGCGTCGACCATCCCGCCTCGTTGTCGTAGGCCTCGAGAACGTGCGTCGTGATGCCGTTGGCTCGCATTTTGTTTGCAGAGATGCTGCCAATCTGTCGCGATGCCGTTGTAACCGATTTGCGAGCGTCCCGGACAATCTTCCCGACCTGGCCCGGGGGGACGTCCGAGCCTTGCCGCTTTTTGTATCTCGAGACCTCGAGAGAAGGCCGCCCGCAGGCCTCCCCGAGGGCCCAAGTCAAGAATTGGCTTTCTTTTGGCGGGCAAGTCCGAGCCCGCGCGTGCGAGCGACCTTTTCGCACACATCGTTCTTCTTCCTCTTGCGTGTGTTTTTCTGTTCGGACCCCGATGTGTGTGCTTAGTGTACACATATGCACATACACTGCAGATTGCGAGAAAAAGAAAACCCCATTGCCCTCCCGGAGTCGAGCTGGCAGCCACCAGACCAGCGACTGTGCCGTGCCCCGCCATGTCCGCTCCTCTCACGCCACCCACGTGCGCCAAGCCCTCGCGGGGCTGCTCGAGTACATCACCGAACGCAAGGTCCAGGCCCGCGGCGCCGCCGCGGCCCGTGGCGCCACGGCGAAGAAGCCCGTCACGAGGTACGACGCTCCCTACACGGTTGTACTCCTGGGTTTTAACAGTCTACCGTAGTCTAGGGGTATATGGTAGGAATTACGTAGACACTTTGACAGAGAAAACTGATACCAGTGTCTACATAACAAGGTACTAACTCGGTAAGATCCGGGCTGGTGGTTAACCTAATTACCACAAGATGTCCGAATCCGCGCACAGGCGCGAAAGCTCGGCCTCGACTGCCACCACCACCTGGTCGATCGCCTCCTCGCACGTTGGGCCCTCCCTCTCCCACGCCGCCACCTCCGCTTCGGACTGCGCCGCCCCCTTTGCCAAGTTTCTCCACTTCCTCAGCTTGTGCGCCAATGCCCTTGTGTTGGTGGTGATGATGCCGCGATGGTCACAGAGGTGGTTGATTCGCTCGCAATTATCGAGCCTGCTGCCGGCCAGAGCTGGGTCGAGCGCGTTGAGCCTCCGCATCATCCTGTTGAACTCGCGCATGACTCGCTCGCCCCTGCTGCCCGCGAGCGAGCCCTCCGCCCCTGCTGCCGCAGGGAGGGAGGGAGGCGGCGCCGCAGCCGGCCTCGCCGCACGCCTCGCGATCTCGAGCAGCGCGTCGTGCGCGGCCCAGGGGAAGGAGAGGGGGCCGTGCTCGCCTGCCCGTGGATTCACACGGATGAGTCCAAGAATGAAGGAGGGGGGGGGGGCGGGGAGGTGCTTGCCTGCCCGCAGCGGTCGTTTGTGGAGGAGAGGGCCGGGAGAGGCCCACCATGCATGCCACGAGGCACACGGGGGAGACTCAGGGGGAAAGAGGGGGGGGGGGGGGGGGGGAACCCCCCCGCCATCAAATTTGTTCCCCCCGGGTTTTAGGGGACCTAATACCCCCCCCACCCCCCCCAAAGGGGGACGGGGGCCTTTTGGGGGTCCCAAAGCCCCTGCCCCTGCATTTTGACCTCGGGAGGAGAAACGGGAGCCTCCCCCTTTCAAAAAAAATTTTTGGGTGGACCTCGACTGGCCATTTGAATCCCCGGGGGGATTCCTGCGGGATTTTGGGGAAAGGATTTTGGGGGGATTTCCCCCCCCCCCCCTGAGGGGGGAAATTTTTTGGCCCCATGCCCCGCAACCCCCAA